GACCACCTGCTCTGATTGCAGCTGTCATGCCACCTATCTCTACATTATTCGTTACGTGGCATGCCAAACTTCGCTTATGAAGACCGAAACTGTACTTCCTGTTGGAGTGACGGTGGAGGGGTGCACAACTTTGACGCGGAAAGCTATTTGTAAAAATTCTTGCAGATAGACTGTATCTCAGCTCTGTCAGATATTAACCGTCTTCAACGCTGTGAAAAACTGCTAACTCTCTCTTACATTGTCTGAGACTTCTGCGGTCTTCAGCTGTTTTCACTCATTTTCACAGTCGGAAGGTCTCGAAGTCCTCCTTCAGCTTCCGTCTAATAAACTTGCAGAGAACAGAATACTCAACCGGATCGATTCCATCTCTCTACATATTCCCCTTTTTGCCTCTTGTGAGATCCTTCCTATCGCTCTCTTTGACTCCACCTCGGTTGACTTTACACAGTGTCTCAGTTTTACTGCTAACGTTTCGTAGTCTTCGTAGCAGCGGCCTCTCCGGCTCCGGCACACATTGGAAATGGCCCTTTGGAGCACCGCATCGTTGAACCCCTTCGATAATTGTCGGCAATTTGCCATCTGCAATGCCTTCTTCTCCATCTTCTCCTCCAAGTCCTAGCCTGAACCATTCTATGGTCACTACCGATGTTAAACGATGGAAGTGCTGTCTCGGATGATGCAACGTTCATCGAATTGGACGAAATCAATCTAACTCTTCGTCGCCGCGTTGGGCGCGATGTACGTTAACCTCCTGTTCGCCTTCAACCTGAATCAAGTATTACCAGTGTATAGGCGTTTTGTTTCTGCCACTGTCACCAGACGATCTTCTCGCTCATTACGCTCTCTGGTGCCGTAGCTACCAACAAATTTTTCACCGGCCCTTCCTCGTCAGACCTTGCCATGGAGGTCTCACATGACGAGAATATGCGTGGACATTGGGACCAATGTCTGTTCCAGTTCTGGACAGAATTCTTCCACTTCCGCCTCGTCATTTGTACTTGTGGAAGCATAAGTTTAGACGATCTTCGAGGTCATCTTCGTGTTCAGTGGGAGGCACAACACGTCCAGTCTCGGTGATTTCAAACAGCAGGAGACGATTTTGGGCAACCAGCTTTAGCCGAGTATGAGTCTAATTCTTCCTACGTGCTTCGCGCACTCTCCTCTTCCTAGTCAAATTTTCATTTGCTTTTACGCTGTTAAAATAAATTAGAATGATGAAATTAATCCAGAAATTGTTAAACTTGTAATATTTTGGCAGCCATTCATATCTCGCGAAATCTTTCACACAAGTCGTGACTTTCTCAATCTGATTTTAATTCACAGCCAATTAATGCAAAAGATCTGTGACTTTCATTTAAAGCAGTCTAAAATTGAATCGCTGTTGAAATGGCAAAATAGACACCTTCTATAACACGGGCCAGAAGATCCTGTTTCACGATATTTGGTTAAACGTTGAAGAAGAAACAAGCTGCCGCATTCAACGATGCAATTTGCTATTGATGCCAATCATGAAAAGATGCCCTGTTTCCCCGATTACTCTATTTGAAAGCAAAACACTTCAAAAGCAGAAATATTTCCTTTTAGCGTCACTGGACTTTAGAGTGTGAATCGGGAACCGTATAGTTCGCTTATCGCCTGATGTACTATTGAAAACAGTTTCATAGACTTGTTGCTGCAGCGTGAAACAGGACACTGACGATCGGAAGCCATTCCAGCAACAAGCGTATCCTCTGTATTACTCAAAAACTGTAAAAACAACTGATTAGCATGTAGAGTTGGCTGACATTAAACATTTGCCTCATGCAGGTAAGCTATTAAAATGCATGACTGCATAACTGCATATGTGTAGTAACAGCGTAGACATTAGACCTTATTATCGCTGAAAGGACACATTCGGGAAGATAATCATTATTCGGTTAGATCTGGAAATTAAGTTCTGATGCACGCGTATGAAGTACTAG